CACATTAACAACGTGCAGGTCAGACAGCCCAAGGTGCTTACAAGGGAAAGGGATCCCCAGGGCAGGAGGGGAAAGAGAAGAGGAAGGTGAGAGCCTGGCAGGACACTTTCCCTGCCAAGCTTTTCAGCCTGGCTTCATTATGGTTGGACTCAATGATCTTAAAGGTCTTTTCTAACCTAAATGATTGTAAGACTCCGACACCAGGGACCAGCCTCAGTAGACCCATGTAAATTACTGATGCTGGTTTCAGCAGCACTGAAAGAGAATATTCAATAGGAGACGTGCCTGGTGCAGTTTAAAGAGCACGTCCTTATGATTCATCTGGGACAGAAGAAATCAAACTATGACCCAGAAAGAGGAGTAGGCAGGAGAGGCTTCAGGGAGGGAGCACTCCAAGTGTTTATGATGCCCGAGAGCAGAGCACCTCCAGGATAACATCGAGATAACAGAGAGCATCTAAACCATAAAGGTCTTACTTAAGAATATCAAGATTTGAGAGAAAAGCCAGGATTCCACATCAGATGCCCAAGCAAGCAAAGCCTTGTCTCTATGGAAACACATCACCTCGGAGGCTTTCACGTAGAAAGCCCTCTATTATCCCTGATTTCCAGAGGGGGAACTGAGGCAGAGAGGAGCTAAGTGCTCAGAGACCTGAGTGGGAGCGCTGGGCTGGAAGAAGCTGAGCTCCTCCACACCACAGTGACCAGCCACACAGGTCCCCCTTGCTCGAGAGGACACATCAGACATCTCCAACAGGAGAGGGCTGTGTTTCATCAGTGATCCTGGCCCTGGAGAGCACCGTACACGCTCCCTGGAACCCAGATGAACATCAGGGATCCAGAGCTAAGCGCCAGAACAGCAAAGTCGGAAGCAATACCTGCCTCTGACAGCACAGACCTGTGGGTTTGCTGCCTCTGACAGAGCACAAGGGAAGTTTAATTAAACCCAGCAGCACGGGTTTGAGAGCAGAGATAAAGAGGAAGTTCAGCCCTGCCTGTCTCTGCCCCAGTGCCCCGAGAAACAGCCCATCTGTATCTGCAAGAGATCTACATCAAAGCCACCGTGTCTTAAATACAAATCCCTCACAGCAAGGGCAGCAGAACACGAGCAGAGCAGAGCTGCTGCCTGAAGAAACACTCTTAAAGAGGAGAAAGGAAACAGTACAAATAGGTTTCAAAACCGGCTGCCCCACATCCGGCTTTTTGTCCCTCATGGAGCCAGCAAACAGAGCCCCCAACACTGGGTCTGCAGCACAAGTCTGGATGAGGCAGGAACAGCCCCTCATCCCAGCCAGGCAGGACTCCACAGCCCACCCGGGTTCCCTCTCCAGGCACAGCCTTGGGCATGTCACCAGCTTCATTCCCACATCACATCCCACCTAAAGCTAAGAGTCAGCTACAGTCCCTCTTGCCAAAGGCCTGGGTCAGGAGGTGGTTTCTCTTCCAGCTTCTCCATGGACTCTTTGCAAAGCTGCCAGACACACACATGGAATTCCAGACAGGTTTGGGCTGGAAGGACCTTAAAGCTCATCCAGTTCCAACCCCCTGCCCCGGGCAGGGACACCTTCCACTAGAGCAGGTTGCTCCACGACACTGTGTCCAACCTGGCCTTTAATCACTGTGGATCTCTGGCATCTTCCTCCAAAAGAGCTGGTCCTGGCCGGGCTCCAGTGACTCTGGGTGGCACAAACACCTCCCCCCAACCAGCACCAGCCTCTGCAGCTCAGGCCCATAAACACAACCTGGAAACCTTTACAAACTGTGGACCTGCCAGCGCTGACATTCCCCTCCAGACACTGCAGCAACCCTGGACAACGATTCCCCTTTCTGCTCCGAGCACAGCACACTGGAAGGAGCTGAGGGAAAAGCCAGTGTTTGGAGTTCTGGTGCCCCAGCCGAACCACACCTCTGCCACGCAGCGATGACACTGCTCCTGGCAGGGAGGCACAGCGGCCACAGCAAGGACAGCCCCACGCTGTCCCCAGCAGCCACTCCCCAACACCACAGAAGTGGCTCCAAGTTGGCTTGGCAGGGACAAGGGTGTGTCTTCCAGAGCAAAACAGCTCTGGAACGGGATATTCCCAACGCAAGAGATTCATTTATAAATGATGGCCCCAGAATCCACTACAACAGGATGAGCTGAATTATTCACTCCAGCAGCAGCTGCAGGCACAACCCAGGGAGGCTCGGCAAGGAGCAAACTGAGCTCTGTGGTGGTTCCTGTCACCCACCACGGCGATGCAGAAGCCCAAGACAATGAGAAGAGTTTAACTCAAGAGCACCGAATCCAGAGCGTGCAGCTGGACATCCTCATGCCCTTCCTCATGCCAGCTCCATGCTCGCAAAGGAGGCACCGAGACATGACAAGAGGCAACCAGAGCTGCACCACACTCCTCCTGCCCCACCTGCACCTCAGGCCATTATCTGTGACACACTGACATAAGTAGGCAACCAAATGGAGCGTGGTTGGGCTCTGGAGGTGTCCTCAGGAGAACAGGCAGACAAGGAGCAGAAGGATGCTCTACTTACCCCCGCGGCAAAGCCTAAGCTCCCATCGAGGATCCGCCTCTGGAAACCAAACACAAAACACACCATTTACTCCCAGCAGAAGCAGTGGGATAAATTCCTTCTCCCCAGTCCTGCAACCCAAGTGATTCCTGTGCTTTGAGGCAAAAGCTGTGCTCCTCACACAAAGGAGCCCACTGAGCTGGGGTGACGGCACCTCCCCATCACCACAGTGCATCCCAGCTCCCTCAGCCCACCCCATAACCATGCTAAAGGCTGAGGGAAGGTAAACCAGGAACTCTCCCACCCTGCATTTCCCCCCCTTGAAGGCTTTGAGTCCTCTGTTAAGAGGCTGCTATAAACAAAGCCATTACTCTCCCAGTAACCCAGCACGTGTCCTGCCCACTTCAATCCCAGGGCAGTTTTTCCTCTTTAGCACATCACCTCCCCTAGGAAGGAAACCAACATGTGACTGCAAAGGGAACCTCACTGAGCCACAGGCTCCTGAATAAATCATCACAAGGGAAAGGCATAAATAATAAATCCATCCGGGCAACTTTGAACACAAAGAGCAAGAGGGGCCTCTAATTTTGGAACACAACATGACTTCAAGATCAGCACTTTGCTTGTTCTGAGCATGGGCTGACCCGAATCCCGGGCTGGAGCTGCGGCAAGAAAAAACAGGTTACAGGAGGAGAACCCGCTGTTCCGAACACAGAGCCCTGCCTGCGGCTCTGCCCCATCTCCCAGCGCTGTGAGCTGTGTTACAGCACATACCACTGCCCGGGGTCAGGAATCTGATTTCCTTCTCTTCTGTGTGGATAAACAGGGTAGAAATGAGCTGGATTCTTCCTCCTCCTGCCCTCAGGACTAACGCTGAGCACCTCATACTTGGGACGGGACAGCCAAACCCGCCCGGGAGCGCGGTGCAGCCCTCACCTGGACCCGAGGATGTGACCAGCACCCACCTGCCCGCTGGAGAACACGAACACCAGCGCGGAACCAGCCGCCGTCAGCCCCCAGGTGAGGAACGTGCCCAGCACCGCCTGCAGCACCGGCCCGTGCCCCGGGATCATGCTGACCTGGGGGGACAACAGGATCAGGAGAAGCACTTGGTGTCTAAAGAGAGAACAACCCCCATAGTCACCCCTGGTTAACGCGGGAGTGCCCCAAGCCCCTCCTCACCAGAGGGGACAGGGTGAGGTTAACCCCCCCCGGTGCCTCTCTAAGCTTCTCTCTTCCCCTGAAGTAAGGCTTTGCGATTCAATCCGAGCTCGGAGGAGCAGGAGGGATGCGCCACATCCCATCTGGTGCCTAACCCCAGGCTGATTTTGGGCTCAGCTCCCTGAGCAGCATCAGAGCACGAAGAAACAGCGCTTGAACCTCACAGAGCAAGGGCATGCTTCATCCCGCAGCCCCAGGCCATTCATCCCACTGCTTGGTGGCACTTGTTTGTGCCCAAAACCAGTTTTCCCAGCACTGAAGGCAAACGTCCTTGCAGCACCTAGCTCCCAACACTGCTGAGCCCCGGGACCAAGCCAAAATGGGAACAAATCCTGGGAATGAGCCACCAAAGCCCAGCTCAGGGCTGTGCCAAGGGGTCACCCAAGCACCGTGCTCCGGGAACAGCCCGGGAGCTGCTCTGCTGAGAAAACACACACACAGGGGCAGAAACAGGCACATAAACATCTAACAACCACGTATGTTTCTGTGCCAACGTATGAGGACACCCCCGTACCCGCACATTTACACAGAGGTACATCATAAACACACACACCGGAGCTTCCTTCCTCCTTCAAAGGCCCTCCCAGGCCCCGACCTCGCCCAGCGGCTGCTGTTAAGCCCTTTAGGGGTGGGCGCCGGGCTCAGACCCCCC